AAAGGGAAATAAAAAAGAATCTAAAGGTAATAATAATAATATTATATTTTCTTATTGTTTTTAACACAAACATTAACAAAAAAATTTTTTTTACATGTGGTGAAATTAATTATTAGATGTTTCTGCTGCTCAAGACGCTTACAATAGTGCACATGAGGAACAAACAAATATAGAAAAAAAAATTAATGAAATTCAGAGTAAACTCTCTATGGATTATGGAAAACAAGATGAATTTGCTAAGCTTGATGGTGAATGTTTTACGTATAATTCTGGAGAGTAAGTATTTTTTTTTTCTTTTTTAATGTATTGTTATCAGTTAATTGATTATGATAATATCTAAATGTATTGTTTATAATATTAAAAAAAACAGGTATACTTATACTGTTTGTATGTTAGAAAGTGTTAAACAAAAAAGCAATAATGATCATTCTTCATCATCTTTAGGGTTAGAGAAATAAATTTTTTTTACTTCAACAAAATATTTTATTTATTATCTATTAACTTATAAATGTATATTGTTTATTTCTTAGAAATTTTATAAAGTGGAACGGAGCTGAATCAAAAGATGATCCAAAATATTACATGAAACAATTATATGATAATGGAACAAGATGTTGGAATGGGCCTAATCGTTCAGCCAAGGTAAGCAATGATAATAATAATAATATTGATCACTGTTAGTATATTATTGTATGATTTTTTAAAAATTATTACTTTATCTGTAGATACATTTTGAGTGTGGTAAAGATAATGAAATATTATCTGTTGCAGAACCAGCAAAATGTGAATATTTAATAAAGATGACCACACCAGCTGTATGTCATAAAATTGACATACAAAATAATAAATTACATGAAGAATTATGAACAATACAGAAACAAAAACAATTTTTATTAGTAAAAATTTTACATCATTTTTTTTTTCTAAATAAAAAAATTTATTTATATTCCTTGGTTTTTTTTGCAATAATGAATATTTTTAAATTTTTGAGTAAAATGATAATGCAGAAATGTAAGTAAAATCAAACAATAAAATTAAAAATACTATACTAATATTAGTAAAAGAGCAAAATATAGTTATATGAATTTTAATAAAGAAGAAGGATTTGTGGTGGAGCAAGCTATGCAGAACATAAGTAATACCAAAAACAACAACCTAATGGTAATAATAATCATTATTTTGTTGTGGTTTATTGTTAATGAGAAATAATCTTTTCAGCCAAGTTCAACACCTGATAAGGATAACTCTCATTATTTAGATAACATTTTATATTTTTATTATGAAAAAATATTTATTTCTCTCAATAGTTTTAAATAGTACACAGAAACATGGCTCAACTTACATAATAATTTTAATTATTTGATGGCATGTCTTAATTTCAAGATGCATTATTTGCAGTAAAGGTAACCAAATGTCTTATTGGAAATTAAAAGTGAATGGATTAGTTATGTTCAGAAAATATTATAGGTACATTAACAAGTGGAACATCATATAATGAATGACCATTTATTTTGTTAAATCTCCCTAACTGAGAGACACATCAGGTCTTTTTGGTATTGAAATATTTTGAATGTCCAGCATAAATTGACTGGTGTAGGTGCATAAGATTTTGAGGAGGGTGGTAAAGTGAGAAAAGAAGTTAAGGCAGTCTGGATGCACCAGCAATAGCAATGACAGTTGACAGAAATGATTAAAAGTTATATTAGACCCTTCTTAAGTATCAATTGAAGAATTACCAAAAACCTATTTCAACATATGGCTATACTAATTATACCAATTAGTAGTTACACTTATCAAAATCAGATGATCAACACATGATTTTTAGCTGTTTTGATAAGTGTAACCCCCTTAATGAATCTCATGAATGCAATCACTACCAATTAGAAACAGCCAAACAATATCTTGACAGAAAAGACATTCACCTTATGTTTGCAAGATTTTTTATTGATCAATTAATGCCCTCAAAGATATACCATAGAGATATTGCCATATTTTTCTCAGCTGGATACAGGACGAAAAAATGAATAATTTAATTAGAATTATGGTTCAATTTGGCAAATGGTTCTATGAACAACTATCCTATTTTCTTACTACAGCAGATCCTTGTACTATGATACAACATAATGGTATCTCTCAAACATTCCCTAATGGTCATCAGGTTCATCAATTACCAGATATGGATTGAGGAATTAAATGAAGCCAGAGAGACCAGAAATTATTTTTTTGAAGAGCTTAATGAATGCTTAGATGAAAAAAATGAATATGTGGATTTAGTAAATAAGATCAAGGCAGGATTAGTGAAAGCCTTAGATGCATTCAAAAAATGGATGAATATATGGACCCATCTACTACTTTCAGTTTGTAGTTTGGGAGGAAATCATGACCAAGCATTTACACAGGCAGTTATATGTGCAGTATTAAACTCTTGATAATCAATGAAAAGAATTCCTTTAGTCTTTTTGAAGCATTACAAGAATATAACATGGATCAAACCATCATTTGTGACTAAAATGCTTCTTGGGTTGTATATGGTCTTAGCATTCAACAAAAATTCACAGAATATCAGCTAGAAAAAAACAAAACCAGAATATTATAATGTAATTTTATTTAATGCTATAGATGAAAATGGTTTTTTACAAACATTAAACAAAAATACACTTAATTGCTGATTCGCGAATGAATTGGAGAAATGATCGACATTTTAATATAAAATTTTTATGCTAATTGTTATTAATAAAATGAGAAAATTCCCAAATCTCA